CTTTTTAGATTTCAGCTTTTCCCTCTGTGATATAAATATATATGTAGTATTATTCAATATGTTATATATGTATTGAGCTGGGTGGTCTCTGAAAATTATTAATTCTAAAATCTATCTATAAAACTTGTTTTGAACTTTAAAATTTTAGAGTTTTGGGGATTTTCCAGGAAAGCTGGAAGAATGCAAATATGAGACTGACTTGAGTGATGACTTTTGGGGCAGAACAGGAAAAGCAAGAGGAAATGCAGGCTGTTAGCAGATACCCTTTGGTGTTTTGGGGTACTTCTACAAAGAGCAAGTTTTTCTTCCTTCCTTCCTTCCTTTCCTTCTCTCTCTCTCTCTTTCCCTCTTTCTTTCCTTTTTTCTTTCCTTCCTCTGAGTTAATACAAAGAGTGTGGAATAGTTTCTAGGAAAAAACAAGCTGAAAAGAAAAAAAAATGACATAAAGCTTTCTATCTTTGGGTATAACTGTTTTGATCGAGCAATCATTCTTTGAGTGAATTGCTCCTGAGACTCAGCCAAAGGGAAAACTGTGGAAGATAGTTACGATCTACCTCATTCTTTCTGCTCTGTGACACCAGCTGATCATTTTCCTCCCTTTCTCTCAATAATGTTTTACATAGTTGTTCAGAGAATGGAAATCAATACTGGGTTTACAAAGGAGACACCTTGAAGATCCTCAAGCCTATACCATTGATTTTTTTTTTTCTCAAACGGAAACCTTTCTTCAAGTGAAAGCTTGTCAGAGCTCTAATACACATAAAACAGACAAAAGCCAAATTTCAAGGTATTAAGAAGGAGAGAGGCATGTTTGGAGAGTTACCAGTATGGTCATTTCTTTACATGTGGCGAACACACTGAGACACTTACAATTTCATGCAACATAATTAGAAAACCACCAATCCACCCCAAACCCTATCCCATCTTTTATAACAAAGCTAGTGCCTGAGGTCCTGAGGGAAGAAGTTGCCCAATTTAATGAAACAAACCTGACAAAGGTGACCTAGAAGAAAGTGAGAGGTGATGGGGGCACTGTTTTGGTCTAAGGACACAGATAAGAGATGAATGGTTTGAACTGGATTGAAATGAAAGATAATTCTGGCTTAATGTAAGTACTTCTGTATGACACCTTTGCAGCTTTAACAAACCTTTCAAATACACTATTTAATTAGTTCAATTCAGTATTTCCTGGATCCAAATTATATAGGATTTGCTCTAGTGGAATCAAAGTATTGATTGTATAAATGTGAAAATGTGTAACATTTTCTGTAAGCAAGCCCTTCAAGTAAGGCTTTCAACCACTCTATGGAGGAAGGATAGTAGAGAAAAGTAAGATACAAAGAAGTTAAGTAATTTTGCCATGGCCCTACAGAATGTCAACAGTAAAACAGAGATTTGAACCTGAGTCTGTCTCACTCCAAAACCCATGTTCCTTTCACTTTAACCACAAGGAACTATCAAGACTGCGAGAAATCCAAAGATGAGGGACATGGTGTTAGCCCTCAATGACTTAAAATCACCTGAAGTACACTTATGTTACACCAGCAACAAGCTAGAGCTGATGAGATACAACAAAAGGCCAAGAAAATTTAAAGCAGCAGCCAGGACATACTTGTGAGAGGGAGGGCACTGAGGACTGGGTAGGCCCTTGAAAGGCAGCAAAGCAAAGATGATTATCCTTATGTCACCTTCAAGGAAACCGAAGCTCACGGAGCTGAGATGTGTTTCCAGGGTGTTACAGCTGGTTAGTGGTGACACAAGAGATGCAGGGAAGATCTCATAGTAGTCAGAGTGAGACTGGAGGGAAAATATGAAACAAAGGAATTACAGAGCAAGCACAAAGAGAAACTAGAACTTCCATGTAGAAACAGTGAAAGAAGTAGAAATACTAAGTGGTTGTGGAGCCAATGGCATTTTTCTCTCTTCTGCCTTAGAGAAAAATGAGAGTATCTAACTTCTGTCTAACCCTCCTTTCTTCTTTCTGAATCAGCCCCATACTGTTATTTCTTACATCTACATTTCTGCCAACTTTTTTTTTTTAAAAAAAGGCTGCTTCTGTATTGAAAGTCACACACTGAGCATCGTTATCCCTGAGAATATTCTTCCTGTTGCTGTGTTTATCTTCTAGTGCTCGCCTGGCTGTCATCGTACCAATCACAGCGCTTAGGTCTTTGGATATTAGGGATGTGCTTGTGCCTCTGTGTACATGACCATCCACACGAGGTTTTATTTACACTTGGGGGTTTGAACAATTCATACATTTGTTCATCTCCACTTTTCTCACTGGCTAGGAACTGCTTTTACTTTTCTTTTCCCCACTTTCTTCCCCTTCTGTTTTATTTGAAGAAAAAATGCAATATAAATCAAACATACTCAAAAGTGTCATCCATGGGAAAATTCTTCATAACTCTCAGTCAGTATTACTAGGTCCGTTAAATCTCATTTCCTTTCTACTCACGAGTTGGGAGTATGTAAACCAAGTCTGGTATCCAAATCCAAAAAAGAAATGAATAAAATTAATGTACTCTTTCAATTTAAAAATATTGGGTTTTCAGATGCTCTTCTAATTACAGGCAGGTTTTGTAGATGTGCCCATCAGGGACGTCATCGCCCACTCTTACTTCCATTCTCCACCAGCTTAACTTTCTCACTCCTCATTGCTCCTCCTCTGCATAGGTCACTGTATCTGCTCTCATGGATTTATTTTTATCCTAGGGTGAGGATTTCTGTTTCTATACTTCTATACCCGTTCTGTTTCTATACGTTCTATACTTCTATACCCGTTTCTATCCCCAGAGTTTAAAGTTCATTTAACTGTCCGCTTTACTTTCTACATACCCCGTGGGTACTTCACACTTACCGTGCTAAGTTGGAACCCCTCATCTCTCCTTTCTTTCTAAGCTGGATCTTCCAACTGTATTTACTGACTTAGTCAGTGGAATCACCAACCACTCCATCCAAGAAGTAGAAACTTGAAGTCCTCCTTGACTCTCTTCTTCCTTCTGCTTCCATCAGTAACAGAAACGATATCTGATGTGACATTTTCACTAATAATTAAATCTATCTCCGTCTTCTCCATCCCTACTTCTGCTGTCATCCTATTGTCTTACCTGGTCTTGTGCAACAACCTCCTAAATAACTTCGCCCACAAACCAACAAGCTCTAAATGCTTCCTCCACACAACCTCCGGGTTTATCAATGTAAAATGTATTCTGTGTCAATCTCATGTTTCAGATCCTTTAACACTGTAGAGATGGATGTGCTAAAAAATTGTATAGAACTAAACACACACACACATACGCATATACACACAGTGAGTACAGTAAAGCTGGGAATTTCTAAATAAGATCAATAGATTATATCAATGTCAATATTCTGCTTATGATATTTTGTGATAGTTTCACAAGATGGTACTTCCCACTGGGGAAAAGTGAGTAATCAGCACATCGATACTCTTTATTTTTTATTACATGTGAATTTATAATTATTTCAAAAGAGAAACTTCATTTAAAAATGCCTTGCAAAAAAGAAAATCTTCAATACTCACTAGAAGTATTGAAGTATTTAAGCTTTTTATAAAAAACATATCACACAAGTTTATACTTTCTTCTCCAGCTTTATCTCCCAGCATTCTCTGCCCCCAATTTTTTCCACTGTACTAACAGTGCCATGACTGCTGTCTCTGTACCACTAGTCTTTATCTAGCCTGGCTAATTTTCTTCTCATCATTTAAGGCTCTTTCCTTAGTCCATCTTATGAGATGATAATATTTCATTGTTGTGCCATTATAGTGTCACACACACTCTTACTACATTTATTAAAAAGTTGTTTTCCTGTTTTACCTTCTATACCATGACTTTCTAGAGTGTGAGACAGTCTTATTCACTTTGCATTTCCAGTGCCTATTATCTTCCTGACAAATATTAGATGCTCTCTATATATCTGACTTGAGTAAATGAATGTGCATCTCCATATAGCTTGGAAATCACTACAATAAATCCAATGGTATTACCTTCTATTATGTACCTAGACTGGAGCATTCATTTGTAAATTTAAGATGATTGACTATCCTAGTACACTATTCGTTTAACTCTTTGTAATATTAACAGTAATGATTAAGAGCTTAGCTAATTTCTTCTTGGAGTAAAATTAGTCTGCTGATAATCACAATGAATCACACACTAAGATGAAACGTGCAGATAAAATGCAGACTTGGAGAAGGCATCCCCTGAGAAAGCTGATGTTTTCCTTCACATGCATAGGGATCAAGGTTAATTTTTTTTTTTAAGGAAAGACAAACTTGAGGACCCTCCAAAGAGATGAAGCAAACAGAAAGAGCATTCATTTGCAGGGTATTCAGATGTTTGCTTATCCCTTAGCCTAACACAGAATCCTATACTCCAATTAAAAACCACCCACCCACACATTAAGGTATGTAACTGGTGATTTAAAAAAAAAAACAAAAACCAACTCTGGGTCCAGAGTTTTGAGTTTATTGTCCTTGGGCCTGATGTTAAGATAGTAGTTATGCGAGTGGGGTGATTATGCTGAAGGCGAAACTTAAGTTTTCTGAACTAATTTCTGTTTGCTGATTTTACTTCTTACCTGCTGGAGGCTAAATGGGAAGATAACCAGTTGAAAAATTTATAAAATGGGTGTAATAATAGGTCAGACTCATGGTCAGACCTAATGAGGAAATGTTTGTTTTCTTTATGAAAACTGCAGAACATAGATGTCGGATAATGGAGGTGCAAAGTTGCTAATTACTAGTTAAGAAAAAAGAGCTTTGATAGAAGACTTGATTGCCTGACTTTCTGGCAAAATGGGATCCCTACCACTGCCCAGAGAAATAACAATTTGTGTAACTTGTAAAATTTGCTGTGTATGCCTGCAGGATTTTGAAGATTCACTTGATTTTTTGATCAAGTATGCTTTAATTTTAATACTCAGAATCATAAATGCAGAAACTATAATCCTAGTTTCATTTTTGTCCTTTTAAGGTTCGTAGAAACCCCAGCCCATTTCTCTTGGAAAGAAAGTTATTACCGATCCACTATGTCCCAGAGCACACAGACAAGTGAATTCCTCAGTCCAGAGGTTTTCCAGCACATCTGGGATTTTCTGGAACAGTAAGTATCCAATAAGCCAAAAAAAGGAAAGAAAAAAGTTGAACTTGAATTAGTATAAATAGGTAAAGGTGGATAGTCAAAGTATTGCTTACTAGGTTATGTTTATAGAATCAATAAAAATCAGTTTATATTGTTGGGAAAAAATTACTCCCTCCAACAGTATCTCTGTGCTCAAAATTCAATGGAGGTTTATTAAATTTCCAACACCAAAAGATCATTATTATTCCAAGGTGGTATAATTTTGGAGGATCAGAAGTGCTCTCCAGCCTAGCCTGAAATAGCTTCCCCAAGGACTTGCTGATACTCAATTCATTGGGTTAAAGACTCTCATTTACTGTTATGTTGCAAATACCCTCTGGGAAAGTGGAACACTGAATTTTGTTGGTCTTTATGCCTTACTAGGAAAAGGACTATTATCTCCTTTCTTAAGATCAGGTTTGGATAAGTGAGTAAATTAAGCGAAAGGCAAAACAATGTCAGAACACTGGGGACCCAAAGGCAGAGGGTGTGAAAGATCCCTGATACTTTTCTACCCTGGGTTCCACCCAGCACTTCTTTGATGAGGGTAAGGATCGTGATTCTCATTTACAAATAGGGCTTAGAGTTGGAATGCCAGAGATTATACATCTGGTAAGTGGTTGAGCCAGGATTCAAACCTAGGGTTTCTGACTCCAACCAACAAGCTTTGCCAACTTTGAAGCAGAAAGAGCTCATTGTTACCAACTGGATGAGTGTGTCTTAGTCCCTTTCCACACCTAACACACCTTTGTTTTCCTTTATGGCAGGCCCATTTGTTCAGTTCAGCCCATTGACTTGAACTTTGTGGATGAACCATCAGAAAATGGTACAACAAACAAGATCGAGATTAGCATGGACTGTATTCGCATGCAGGACTCGGACCTGACTGACCCCATGTGGGTGAGTGGCGTGGACTTTCTCTTGAATCTGTGGGCCATGCTGTCCACTTCTCTATTACACTTGTCTCTTCCATGGCATGTGAAAAGGCAGGTGTCTCTGAATGGGCAAGGCCATTGGAAAGCCAGTCAATGTGGTCAGCAGAGAAAAAATTAGGAACTGTGGATTCTGGATCTGCCTTTAGGATGCATATGTTTCCACTCATGTGAGGAAGGGAGTTGGGAATAATGCCTTACACTCTGTCTGAATTGTCCCTCATGTCTATCCCGACTTCACAGTGAATGGTACCAGCCCAGTGCTTTACAGCTGATGGAGGCAGTCAGAACCAAAGTCAAGATCTGAATCCTATCCAAAGCATTTTCCACTATGGCAGACTATCTCTCTCATAGAATTATTCTTCTTTAATGAAGGAGGATAAAGTAAAATCTATGCAAACACTCAGATTTAAGTACTTGGTGATAGAGTAAGAGGAAAGAAACTAAATAATACATAAAACAGGGATTTGGTGTGAATGTGTGTGTATGGCATTACCACTGAGTCCCTCATGACTTTAGACCTCAGGTTTTCATCTGTAAAATGGCAAGAATTTAGGTGCTCACACCTCCCAGGTAGCTAAGGGGTGGATGGGTTAATGATAGCAAAGCGCTTTTCTGAGGTGTTCAGGTGAAATTTCCTGTATTTGTGCAGTGTATCATGCTGGCTAGTGGGTTCTCTTTTCTTTCCTTTTTTTTTTTTTAATCTTTCATTCACCACACAAGTCCTACTGCTTTTTTGTAGAAAGCAAGAAAACAAAAATTTAAAGGAAAATAGAAACAAAAAGAGCTATAAAGTATCAAATTACTTTATCTGAAGGACTGGTACAAATGAAAGATGTTTTGGTATGCCTTGACTTTTTTGTCTGATGTAAAATTTTATTGGAATTTTCACTATATGTTTTTTGATTATAAATTGTACTTTCTAAATTGGGAGAAGGTGAAGTGGGGAGAGAGGAGGGGAAACAACAAAAAAACAGAAAGTTGTAACTTTGCAAATACACTGATTTTGGTCACCAAATTGATAAGGGAAAAATACATTTCTTCTCTGGCCCCTTCCATTATAAGATGGATACAGTTCTCAATTATCCCGAACTAGTGAATGGAAACTGACAGATGAATCTGAGGGGCAGGTAATTCGAGGCCTTGGAATGTACTACAATTAAACATAAGTATTTATAATTACATAAATTTGAATTTGACAGTGATGTAGAAATTAGGATATCCCCAACTCATTTAATAATATCACCTCTTAGATTGATGGGTAGCACCAGCCTAGGAAAACCTTTTTTATACTCTCTCTGGAGATTTTCTGATCTGACTCTTGGATTCATAAAAGTGAGCAAAAGTTACATGGTTTGTGATGGAGAATCAAGCCTTTTCATTTGCAATTTCTGTTATGATTTTTATTTTCACATATGGAAGCAAGCGTTCTCTTAATGTGTCTTCTTCATTTTATTAGAAGTGCTCTCCTTGAGGACATTTCGTGTTTTTCCTCTCCTCTCTAGCCAATTCCTATCCATCCCTCAACAGCCAGTCTGTCCTGTCTTCTCCAGGAAAACATCCCATATCATTATTCTCTACCAATATGAATTAGAGACCATTCCTCTGAAGCAACATAGACACATTTCTAGTTGCATTGCTTATTACACAATATCATAATTGTTTCTTTGTCTGTTTCTAAACGGAAGAGGCACCATGTTTTGTCAAGCCCCGTGTTTGTTACCACGTTTGGCCCACAGCAGGCCCTCAGGAATTTTTGAAGTCATAAGAAATGAGACTTGGAAGTTATCTAAAAAGTCAAAACGTTCTCTTTAAAACAGCCCTGTCCAAAATAACTTTTTTCCAATGATGAAAATGTCCTATATTCCTGCTGTCCAACCCGGCAGCCGCATGTATCCTTTGGACACCTGAAATGTGGCTGGTACCCATGAGGAACTAAACTGTAACTTTAGTTAGTTTCAATTGTCACATGTGGCTAGTTGGTAGTGTATTAGGTGGCACAGTTCTAGAATCTCACCAGGCAGGGGGCCATTCTCGGAACATTCACAGCAACAAACCTTCCTGTCCTGCTGTTCACAGCAGCAAAACTTCCTCTTGTATTCCTTCCTTTTGCTTATGGTGTGTCAGGATAGAAAATGTTGTGCTTTTTCTTTCAGTACCTCTTTTTAATGAAATGTAGGTTTATCTGTGTGAGAAAACCTCCACTCTTCCCTCATGAGATAGTCATACTGTTGAGTCTCCACAATTTCCCTCCTCTGAAGAAGCACAGGGCACCACTGGTAACTAGGAATTCTACCATCACTTACTAGCACCCTGGAACTTGAAATTGTATGTCAGATGGAGGGTAATGAGAAATCAGGAAAGAAGACCGGGATAGAAACATTTGCAAGGAGTGATGGATGGAAGCGATTTAGGAAAACTGGAAAAAAAAAATGAAAAGGGGTTTTGCCAATGAGGAGACAAAATAGGTTACTTGGGAACACCTATATTGAAAGGAATATGTAAGTGGAGTGAGAATGAACTTGAGTAAATAAGCAGACTTGGCTATCTGTGGCTGCCCTGTTTTTATCTCCAAAGAATTGAAACACTGCTAATAAAATGCAGTTCTATATGAATCCTGAGTTTCCCCTTGTCGTGGGACCATGTCAACATCCATGTGTAGAGGCCACATAGATGAGACCAGAGGCCACTTAGATGGGACTAAATAACGATCATATTCCTCAGCAGTGGGAATGGCAAAATGGCGGAATGGCTCAGGATGCAATAACTGGGGTTCTGGTCTGGCAAGTGAGAACTAGGATCGTCTGGGCTTCCTGGTCCTTCTAAACTGAAAGCTGCAGCAAGTGGCGTGAGGCTCTTTCCTTCCATCACTCGGTAGCAGTACTTTCACTTTTCTGTGCATAGGTTAATAACTAAATAGTTCCAAAACTCTGCCCATAAATCACTTTCCTCTCACATATAATACTTAAAAAATTGGGATCTCTGCCAAACATTCTCTCACTATGCAAGAAATGTGAATCTGTGGACAAGAAATGACATGTCAGATTATTAAGGACAAAAATCTTAAAATCGAGAATGGCATCCCATTTTTATTGGTTTATGAAACAACCTTCACCTTAATAATTAGTCATGAAGTGGAATCATGTTTTGCTCTGATTATGAACAAAGGGAATTTGAATTGCAGACAGTGTGTGTGTTTTCTTCATTAGAATGATTTTAGTGTCATTGAAGAATGAACTACATTGGATGAGCAAATGGTGAATGAGATTTCTCAAAAAAAAAAGTATAATTTTGGCTGTTTCCAAGATCCTTATTGGCTCCTTCTTATGTTGCCTATAATATTACTTTATATCTCTGCTTTGTCTTATTTATAAACTGTCTAAGCATGCCTATCAAGTCCTCAAGCAGTGGATAATGATAACACGTAAATGTTCTCCTGGAATGATGGATGGAAACTACATAACACTTACTTTTGCATTTCTTTATTCTTTATACTTTGAAGGAAGCCCTGTTTAGTTGAATTGGGTTTTTCCCTGGGGCTTTTAGTAGTAATTATCTAAAACCAACCATTTTTGTAAGTTTTTATTGTAGCATCCAGTTATAAATGCAGTCCTCAGCTCCACATATCAAAAGAGCACATAGTGTGTTTGTATTTGGGAAGGCTTGGGCCACAGCACCTAGCATAACACCCTACATCTTCTATGACCCAATATTTATATAAGATTTCAGGTAGACTGTACAGACTAGATTGAGGCACAAGCATTTCTTTAGCGCTTACTGTATGCTGTGTTATTTGTGATACAGATGAACAAATCATGGTCCCCAGCCTTGAGAAGACCGTAATACAGCAGAAAACAAGTGTATATAAAATTACTTATGAAAAGTACTGAGACATACTTTTTTTTAACGCACATAGAAAAGGAATGATTTATTGTGCCAGAGAAAGACTGATAATATGTTACAGAGAAGATGATTTTTATTTAAGCTTTGAAATTTGAGTCAATCAAAATAGGCAAAGCAAAAAGTAGTTTGAAAAGATAAGACTGAAATGATTAGGTAAAGGGAAATGTATATAGAAAAGAAAGATAAAATATAGATTTAAAAAATTACAACGCATGAGAAAGATTTAATAGCCCAGATAAACTAAATACTTAAAAATTAAATAGGAGAAAGATGAATTTCTCCCTTTGTCAGAAAGTATAAGTGATTTGCAGATGTTTAACAAATATAAAATGTTCAACCTCTCTAATAACCAAAAAAAAAAGTGCAATAAAACAATGAGATAATATATCATCTATCTGATCAGCAAAGATTTAAATAATTGATAACATCCAGCCAGTGCTGGTGAGATTGTTGGGAAACAGACAATCTTTGCACTTGTGGTAGAAGTGTAAGTTGATAAATTTGGAGGGCAATTTGCTCATTCTCATTTATTTAATTTTAAAGACACACTTTTGACCGTAAGTGTCCCTTCTAGAATTTTTTTCCACAAAACAATTAAAAATATGTAAATAAGTACACACGCAAACACACACAGATAGACAGAAACAAAGGTTTCATTGCAGCATTGTTTTATAATATCCAAAATGGTAAGACCAGAAAGACTTCTATAGACTTTAAAATTTTGGACTGTGATAGACAGAAAAGAAACTACAGGTCAAAGCAAACTACGGTATTAATAATTATGACGTGTGGTCATTTTCATCTTGGCAATCCTATTGTTTATGAACGTCAGTGTGATTTCTGTATTTGTGCTGTGTGTGAAGCATCCTTTGTATTCTAAGAAAGATCATGTAGAATTGATAGTATTTCTTATTAAATTTTTGGTAGAATTTGCTAGTGAAATCACGTGGGCCTGAATATTTGGGGGGGGGAGTTCTTTAATTACAAGTTCAGTGTGTTTAATAGTTACAGGACAACTGAGATGATCTGTTTTTGTAAATTGTGGGTTTTGAGGAATTGGTTAAT